GTACTGTGACCTGGGATCTGTATATTACTCTTCTTATGAAACAGTCATCCCCAAGAGCCTGACAGTCAAGGGAAGGGAAGACCCAGTGGAAAAGGCATCCTATATGCTCTTAATGCAGGGCCAGAAATGGATGATTCACCTGAAGGCGAAGAGAGACTGTTTTGTGAAGGACTTTCCAGTCTTCAGCTACCACGGTGGCGTCCTGGGGCAAGAAATGCCTTTCATCTCACATGACTGTCACTATGAAGGCTACATAGAAGGAGTCCCGGGTTCTTTTGTTTCTCTCAACACCTGTTCAGGCCTCAGGGGCATCCTGATTAAGGAGGGGAAACCCTATGGCATTAAGCCCAAGGACACTTCGAAACGCTCTGAACATGTGTTGTACGCGATGGCACACCAAGCTCGAGTCTCCTGTGGGGTCACTTCCAAAGGCAGCCAAGTGGCGCCTGCCAGCCGGCAGCAGGGGAGCAGGAAGCCTCACAGTCCACAGGCACCGTCCTCCTTTTGGTCACACACCAAGTACGTGGAGATGTTTGTCGTGGTCAACAACCAGCGGTTCCAAATGTGGGGCAGTGACGTCAGTGAGACAGTCCAGAGGGTCATGGACATCACCGCTCTGGCCAACAGCTTCACCAGGGGGATAAACACAGAGGTGGTGCTGGCTGGAATGGAGATTTGGACCGAGAGGGACCTCATAGAAGTCCCGGCGGACTTGCAAGTTACACTCGGGAATTTCAACAGCTGGAGACAGGAGAAGCTCTCCCGTCGTGTGAAGCACGATGTTGCCCACATGATCGTCGGACATCGTCCTGAAGGAGACGTGGGACAGGCATTTCTCAGTGGTGCCTGTTCAAGTGGCTTTGCGGCAGCCGTTGAGTCCTTCCATCATGAAGACGTCCTCCTGTTTGCAGCGCTCATGGCCCACGAGCTTGGGCACAACTTGGGTATTCGGCACGACCACTCGGCCTGCGCTTGTAGAGATAAACGCTTGTGCCTCATGCGTGAAAATATCACCAAAGAAGGTGGCTTCAGCAACTGCAGCTCTGATTACTTCTACCAGTTCCTCCGGGAACACAAAGGGGGCTGCCTATTTAACAAGCCTCGGCCCCAACATCGCCTGCGTAGGAATGCAGAGTGTGGAAATGGTGTGTTGGAGGACAATGAGGAGTGTGACT